CCAGTCCCCCGCACCGTCCCCGCTAGCCTCCCCACCCAAGTTCTCAAAATAATACCTCACCCAGTTCTGTCGCAGGGTACCCCGAAAACCACCCGACGGAAACAAAGCCAATACGTCAATGTTTACTTCCTGGTCTCAGCGCTTCCCGGCAGCCACCGCGGGACACATGCGCACTACGAACTCCGCATGCGCACTAACAGCTCTTTGGGGGGCGGGTCCCAGGATCCCGAGACTTGGGTGTCGCGAGATCTCGAGTTTGGCCGCTCTTCCGACTCCCTCGGCTCCATAGTCCCCACGGTAATGATATTTTTTCAAAACCCAAATCTGTTCATGCCTCGCCCCATCGCCCAAGCTTAGAACCCTCCAATGAAACGTCGTCCAAGAGAAATAGAATTCCAGCCCTAGATGTCATTTTAACTATTCCAGTAGCCATATTGATATAATAGGAACAGGTAAGATTACTTTTGCAATATTTTATTTAACCCAATAGATCCAGCATATCATTTTGCCGTAAGAAAAAAATTAAGTGTTTAAAATCTGATATGACATCTTATAATTTTTACTTTAAAAACCACTGAAGACACAGTCCTGGCCTGACTGGACTCAAGTACCATGTCTGAGGCTTAGGACGGCAGCTTCCTTCAAGGTCCCCGTCCCCTGCTCCCTCCTCAGCCTGGCGTTCGTCTCCCCTCTGAGGATAGATCTAAGGATTAGAAGCTTTCGATCCATTTTGCGGGTTCTCCAGCTTTACCTCCCTTTCCCACGCTCCTCCCCTTCCTTCCCATCTTGTTCGCCGCGCCCTCCTTCCAAATGGATTTAATTGTAGTTTCAACCTCTCCCAGAAATACAATCTAATCATGCAATCTGAACTTGTCATCAAGCATGTTAAGGAACAGAAGACTTGAACCTTTGTAGATTTAAGAAAGGATTTATTTGGGCCCATCTGAGGACATTGCCTGAGAGCTGAGTTCAGGGATATTTATATAGGCAGGGGGACAAAGGAAAATATAGCTATGCATCAGCTGCTATAGTTGGTTACATATAGTCAAGGAGTGATAGCTTTACATCAGGTGGAGAGAATATACAGATAAGGTAGGGTCATGGAGCACCTGGAATCTGGAGTCGTGGGAAGGGTTCTGGAAGCAATTATTTTTATCAGGATGTAGAAAGAACAGGCACTGCCTTCTATAATCATTTATCTTTTTAATTGGTGCTATTGGAAAGTATATGTGGCTAGTTCCACAGAAGGTCTTGGTTAGGAATTTACTGTGTTCCTCGGTTACTGATTAAGTTCCAGCAGCAGCTTAGACTCTTTCCTTTCTCAAGCACCAGTAAGGTTATCTGTCACATGGGCCCTCTTCATCTGCAACCCCTACAGAAAGAGGAGTCCATCTGCATGATACAAATCCTTCCCTTTCTTTCTCCAGCTCCCCCCCTCAAAAAAAGATATCCTAGTCCCCAAATAACCCTTTTTTTTGGTTAATATCTCCCTTCTTCCTATAAAAACCTTCCCAACGCTCTTGTATTTGTGAGATGGGATGCTGCCCAATTCACAAATAATTTAATAAAGCCAATTAGATCTTCAAATTTACTCAGTTGAACTTTTTATTTTTTGTCTCACCTGTTCTGGTCACTTTTATTTTAAAATTTCAAAATAACATGCATTCCTTTAAAATGTAAAAGTGAAGGTAGCTAACATTTTTACCTCAATAAGATAGCCCATTATAATATTTTTTTTTCTTACTAAGAATTTGCAGTGTCTAGAGTTTAGGAATGTAAGTATTTTGATTCTACAGAATAATAGATGAAGGAATAGAAAGTTCAGAGAATAGCCTGAAAGTAAGTAGTCTACGAATCACCCACACTTGGTTTTTATCTTCTTAAAACAATTACTGAAACTTGCTTTAGTGTTGAGGTTTATTAAGTTCAAACCACCAGGCACAAGCCACAGAGCTCATCTCCCAGAGGAATCAGAATGTGCTGGACAAGAGGGAATAATCTTTTGGAAGGTTTGGGTTCCTCCCTGGAGGACTCATTTTGAGAAGGGTTTAAGGAAGCAGTTTTGGATGGGTCACTGTTTATTAATCAGGATTAGGATACCCTGGGATTGATTAGGATGTAGGTGCCCTTATGAAGTGAGGCTGGTGTAGCAATTGGGTATTCCACTAGTAGTTTGGAATAACAAAGTGGGTCTGAGGCATTGTTAGTAAGAAAACAGTGGTCACTCAAAGAGGAGGTGGTTATGATATTTTCAGTTACTGAATGACTTTGGGTGACAGTGTTTCCTGTTGTAAGGGAAAGACAGCCCAAAACTTAAGGAGATAGAGAATTCCCACTTGGAAGCTGTAGGTGTTGTACTGATTTGGTTTCAAAATGAACTTTTGTGTGCTGATGATATAATATGGAGCTGAGGAGTGTAGAAAGTGATACAGGGAGAAAATAAGGGAAGGGGGTGGGGACTCAAAAGAAGAAGGACGGGGAAGGGGTAATAAAGGTATGCATGGCTTTTTTTCCCCATCCCTCTTTTCTTCACCTTCTTGAGTTAGGATCATTTCTTCTTGATGCATTAAGCGTCATTCAGTAATTATCTGTTTATTGAATGAATCATTCAGTCAGTTTTGGTCCTGAAATGCCAGGGAAGAAGGACTACTGAGCTGGCATATATTGAGAACCATGTCTATGCCAGTCCCTATTAAATGATAGAATTTTAAGGAAGCCTGAGTTATGTATTCGTTAGGATCATCATTTTGTTCCTAAGCCAGAGACTCCTGTTAATATACTAGAAACAGCATCCTAGCCTGAAGTGCTGAGGAAAGGCCTTTAATTAGGGAATAGGCAGGCTATTCTTAATCACAGGCACAACCAGAGTGACTCAGATATTGCCGTTTGATCTATCTGTACTTGCATATTTTCTTAGTTTTTAATTCTGCTGTGCTAGTGTTCTTTAGACCTCACATGGGTTGTTTCCCCCACCTGAAGTTATTTTCCTGAAGACTACAGTGCCTTTCCTCCAGGACACTTTTTCTTTTTTATTTGATCCGGTCTATTAACTCTCTGGACGAATAGTTGATTAGTTGAAGACTTTAGGAAAACAGTTCGGTGCCACCGCGCCTTGACTTTTTGAACCTCGCAATCTTTTCCTGTAAGAACGTCTTGGCCCTCCCCTCAAGTGTCTCGGGAAAAACAATACTCCGCACCTTGATATCATAATAATCACCATAATTATTTGTAATTGGAGACCATATTCACTCCCCTTCTACCCGTGTGGGGAGCAGGTTAAAAGAAACACCTATAAGCCCATTATTAAGGTGTCAGGAGGTTTGACTTGTTTTTTTCCTTCCCAAGAAACAAGCTGTCGTCTAGGGAAAAAGCTTTCGGGGCGGAGCCCCAGTAGTTAGGCGCCTCCCATTGGTTCTCCCTGAGCGTCTCCACCCCCCTCAGGTCCCGCCTCTGGGCGGAGGAGCCAATAGGGACGCGAGTTGTGGTTCAAACGCCGGGGCTGGAGCGACCGCTGAGGGCTGAGGCGTGGGTGGTTTTGGCTGCTGATCCCAACGTGGGTGAGCGGAGGGGTCCGGAGTAGTTGGGGGGCGTGGGGGGCAGGCCTGGGGAGGAGAAAGGCGCGTT